GTTGTTACCGACATCTGGTGAAAATTTCATGTCATTAGCACCTCTAGTAATATATTTACTGAGAAAAATGTTGACGTGTTCAGTACTTATTTTACTCGCTGTATCACTTGTTTAAACCATATAAGTTTGAGCTGGATCACAAAAACAGTGACAACAGTATAACAAAAATAAAGCTGAGCAAAAAAAAATTACTTTGGTTCCTCAAAAACAATTTTTTTTTTCTTCAAATAAATCCTGGAGCAGTTTTTGAATCTGCTTACTTTTTCTTTGCAAGGTGGGGCATCTAACTGAGCATGTACAGTGTTAGTGTCATCACTCTAGCTTGTTTCTGTTTGCAGAAAAATGACGTGTTGCAACCGTCCCTTGTTGCTACTGTCCCCGGTCTCCCCTACTAATAATAGTAATAAAAGTAAATTTAAAAAAATTAAAGCATCACATACGGCGATGAATTGTGGGTAAAATAAAGACCACTTCAAACAACCAGGGCTAACCGGGACACAATAACCCTTTATCGAGAATGCGCATTTGAAGTACACAAGGGTGGAAGTGCAAGTACTGGGACTAAGCCTAAGGTTAATACATATGGGCCATGTAAACTGCAGTGTCAGGCCACATTTGGCCCGTGGACCTTGAGTTTGACATGTGACCCAAGATGGCCATCACAACTAAACTCAATGAGGTATACATAGACTAGAGAGGCTACCCCCGTCAAGAGGCTGGGGCCAAGATATGCTAAGCGCGACGCCATCTTGAAACAGTCTACTTAAAGGGATGGGGCTATTCAGATTATGTAAACAATGTTGAGTACTTACCAGATTAACAGGTTTTTCTTTTTAGAGTAGCCCCGATTTACATGTACTCTATAACACGTTTACACACAGACAGTTGAACGAAAAAGTTTATTTTACCATATTATTTTAACAAAAAAAATGTTATTTTTATTAACAACAATGAAATTCAAAACAAGTAAAAGAAAGTATACTAAAATTATATTGTCAAAGAACAATACAAAAAACAAGGCTTAAAGCATCATTTTGAAAACATCATTTAGAAATACATAAACTAAAAAAATAAAAATCCATCCATCCATTTTCTTCCGCCTATCCGGGGTCGGGTCGCGGGGGCAGCTGCTTCAGAAGGGAGGCCCAGACCTCCCTCTCCCCAGCCACTTCTTCCAGCTCCTCCGGGGGAACTCCAAGGCGTTCCC